AACCCCCGCCTCTCTCTCTCTCTCTCTCTCACACACGCACACACACGCGCACACACACAAGTTATGCATAATTATATACTGGAATTTACATAAATACATACATATAAAGGTGGGAGAGAGAGAGAAGGAATTGTTCTGTTCATATAATTTCATTCAGGTTCTCCTTTTGCATCTTCTTATCCATTATATGTAAGTCCCATCCATTATTAATTTTACCATCCATTATTAATTTTATCACTATTAATCATTACGATTTCTGTGTATTTTTTTTGTTCCTTTTCATTTGATTTTTTGTTTATTCTGTTTGCTTTCTTGTTATTCTCTTGATGCTAAACAGTGATTGAGTTTTTATCTTAAAAGAGTATCGGCGGATCTAATCTGAATATTGAATTCGTTTTATTGGTTTACAGATTGCATTATTAAAACTTTGATTTTGATTAAAATAAGATCTTCGCAGCTGGGTATTGTTTGATCTGAATTGTAGAGATCTGGGCTGCTTTGTTGAATTATTTTTGTTTTATTTCATCAAAAGATTTGATTGTTATGTTGTTTTTGAATTTTGAACCTGGTTTTCTCTGCCGATTGGTATGTACTGTTGTTTGAGAAGTCATTTTTCTAATTTAGTACTTAGTCGAGGACAGTTTTTTTTATTGATAATCTGTTGATCTAGTTTAATAGTCTTATTGAATTTTCACAGAAATAATAATTAATGTGATTTTATTATTATTATTTTTTTTTGCTGAATAAAAATTTCCTCGGGTAACTGGTACCAATGAACAACCCCGTATAGATGAATAATTTTCCCGAGTTTTTCAATTTTATCAGTAGATAAGTTTTTTTCCGCATATGTTCTTTTCCACAACTTGACAATTACTTTTTATTGCATCTGGAACTTTGGATATATGGTTATCCATTTTTATCAGCGGATTGCAGTTGTTGAAGAGACGAGGATTTGGAGTGGTTTCAATAAAGAAGAGGTGCTTCTTTTGCCGTCACATCTCGAGGAGATGGTGGAAGATCGGGTATGTTTAGTCTCAGGGGACTATTCCAGGACCTGTGAACAAGAAAGCAATTGGCCTTGCATGAATCAACGGCTGGAAAAAATTGAGGTTCCGCGCGGTAAGCGACCTTTAGAAACAGATGGAGAGAAAGAAGTTGTTGTCAGAAAGGTGTCTAAGAAATTGGGAATCTTTGTAGATACATCTTTATCAATTGGTGGGTTTTTAATGTCCGCTTCTGAGAAATCTGGTAATAAGCAGTATGCAGGACAAAATTCTGATTCTGATTCGAGTTCTTTGATCGCTACTATTGGTCGTGACAACTCTATTAGTTGTCTAATTCGGTCCTCGAGAGCTGATTACGGTGCTATTGCATCTCTAAACAGTAGTTTTCGTTCACTTGTTAGAAGCGGTGAGCTCTATAGATTGAGGAGGCTAAATGGCGTGGTCGAGCACTGGGTTTATTTTTCCTGTCATCTTCTCGAATGGGAAGCCTTTGACCCGAGTCGGCGCCGTTGGATGCATTTACCAAGTATGAATCCTAATGGCTGTTTTGGGTGTGCAGATAAGGAATCTTTGGCTGTTGGCACTGAGCTTCTTGTTTTCGGGTGGGATCTCATGTCTCATATCACTTACCGGTATAGCTTGTTGACCAACACGTGGTCATCGGGACCAAACATGAACGAGCCTAGGTGTTTGTTTGGATCTGCCAGCCTCGGGGAGATTGCAATATTAGCTGGTGGTTGCAACTCACGTGGCACTATCCTCAGTTCCGCAGAGCTCTATAATTCTGAATTGGGAATTTGGAAGACACTTCCAAGCATGAAGAAACCGAGGAAGATGTGTTCTGGGGTGTTCATGGATGGAAAGTTTTATGTGATTGGAGGAATTGGAGGAACAGAGTCGAAGCTTCTCACATGTGGAGAGGAATATAATCTGGAAACCGAGACTTGGACTGAAATACCTAACATGTCCCCAGTGCGGACTGATGTGGCCAGGGAATTCGATCGACCTGCTACGTCCGAAGCACCTCCGTTGATTGCTGTTGTAAATAATGAATTATATGCTGCTGATTATGCTGACATGGCACTGAGAAAGTATGACAAGAATAATAAAGTGTGGATTACCGTAGGAAGATTGCCAGAACGAGCTGATTCTACGAATGGTTGGGGTTTGGCGTTTAGGGCATGTGGCGATAGGCTTATTGTAATTGGAGGGCCTCGGACTGTTGGTCAGGGATATATCGAAGTCAATGCATGGGTTCCAATTGAAGGTCCGCCGCAATGGGTCTTGCTCGGCCGAAAACAATCTGGCAGTTTTGTTTACAATTGTGCTGTGATGGGATGCTGATCATTTGTGTTTCGGTGCAGTCTGTACCATTCAAATTGAGTGCCTCGCTCTCCGATGGATTGGATCCCAGATGCACCTGATTACTACTAATGGGTAATTTCTTGCAAGTTTGCATTTTCAACTTTTTTCCCTTTCACTTGGAGGAGGATCAGAAGGATTATATTTTACTCAAGATTCGATTGATTGTTCTCTTTGAGGTAGTCTTGGGTACATCTTTTTAAAACTAAATCTAAATTTTCTTCCTGTAAATTGCCTTCTCCCTTTGAAGTAACATGAGAAAATATCAAAGTTGACCTTTGCGCAGAAAAATGTTCGAATAACTTCTAGGAGGAATACATTTATAGGTTTTCGTTGGTGTCTTATGAAGGTTATCTCATAGAATTCAGTGATTCGATTTTTCAAGTTCTTGGAATTGTATGAAGGGGAAAACAATAAGGCATGAACATGTTTACTGGGAGCATCGGCTATAAAGTGATCTTTTTTCTTCGGTTACTCTTTGCAGCTTTATAGCAGCTTCCTGTTCTCTTTTATCCCGAAGTTTATGCTTTTCTTTGGCTAGTTTGAATGGATGTTCTTGCATATTTCTATAACGTTTTATTCTGGTTCTTAAATACGTCAAGTGACTCCAGTCATTGAATCGCTATTATTTGACCCTTTGAATGATGTAAACCATGTTTTTGGTGAAGTTCTCTCTTCGATATATAAAATGGAAAGTTCAAACTAATTCTCTTAATTTTGATATCTGAACCTGTTTTATTGATAGAATAACTTGTTTCAAAAGTGAGGAAAATTTTCTTTAGTTTTGAATTACAAATTATCTGTATACTGTTGATTTTGACAGTGTCCATAATGCTATGTTATCTTCATTTTACTTGTGTTGAACATTTTCTAATAACTTTGTGTTTTTAAGATAGCTATTTGATAATTATGTGGTAGTAAAATATTCAAGTCTCAACTCTGAGAAGTAGCTCAATGATCAGACATTGGGTTTACTCCCCAATGGTCATCAATTCGAGTCTTTTCAGGACCACTGAAGTGAGTACACCGCTGTAAACTTTAGGGTTCCGCAGAGCTCTATAATTCTGAATTGGGAATTTGGAAGACACTTCCAAGCATGAAGAAACCGAGGAAGATGTGTTCTGGGGTGTTCATGGATGGAAAGTTTTATGTGATTGGAGGAATTGGAGGAACAGAGTCGAAGCTTCTCACATGTGGAGAGGAATATAATCTGGAAACCGAGACTTGGACTGAAATACCTAACATGTCCCCAGTGCGGACTGATGTGGCCAGGGAATTCGATCGACCTGCTACGTCCGAAGCACCTCCGTTGATTGCTGTTGTAAATAATGAATTATATGCTGCTGATTATGCTGACATGGCACTGAGAAAGTATGACAAGAATAATAAAGTGTGGATTACCGTAGGAAGATTGCCAGAACGAGCTGATTCTACGAATGGTTGGGGTTTGGCGTTTAGGGCATGTGGCGATAGGCTTATTGTAATTGGAGGGCCTCGGACTGTTGGTCAGGGATATATCGAAGTCAATGCATGGGTTCCAATTGAAGGTCCGCCGCAATGGGTTTTGCTCGGCCGAAAACAATCTGGCAGTTTTGTTTACAATTGTGCTGTGATGGGATGCTGATCATTTGTGTTTCGGTGCAGTCTGTACCATTCAAATTGAGTGCCTCGCTCTCCGATGGATTGGATCCCAGATGCACCTGATTACTACTAATGGGTAATTTCTTGCAAGTTTGCATTTTCAACTTTTTTCCCTTTCACTTGGAGGAGGATCAGAAGGATTATATTTTACTCAAGATTCGATTGATTGTTCTCTTTGAGGTAGTCTTGGGTACATCTTTTTAAAACTAAATCTAAATTTTCTTCCTGTAAATTGCCTTCTCCCTTTGAAGTAACATGAGAAAATATCAAAGTTGACCTTTGCGCAGAAAAATGTTCGAATAACTTCTAGGAGGAATACATTTATAGGTTTTCGTTGGTGTCTTATGAAGGTTATCTCATAGAATTCAGTGATTCGATTTTTCAAGTTCTTGGAATTGTATGAAGGGGAAAACAATAAGGCATGAACATGTTTACTGGGAGCATCGGCTATAAAGTGATCTTTTTTCTTCGGTTACTCTTTGCAGCTTTATAGCAGCTTCCTGTTCTCTTTTATCCCGAAGTTTATGCTTTTCTTTGGCTAGTTTGAATGGATGTTCTTGCATATTTCTATAACGTTTTATTCTGGTTCTTAAATACGTCAAGTCATTGAATCGCTATTATTTGACCCTTTGAATGATGTAAACTATGTTTTTGGTGAAGTTCTCTCTTCGATATATAAAATGGAAAGTTCAAACTAATTCTCTTAATTTTGATATCTGAACCTGTTTTATTGATAGAATAACTTGTTTCAAAAGTGAGGAAAATTTTCTTTAGTTTTGAATTACAAATTATCTGTATACTGTTGATTTTGATAGTGTCCATAATGCTATGTTATCTTCATTTTACTTGTGTTGAACATTTTCTAATAACTTTGTGTTTTTAAGATTTATGGTGTTGGCAGCGGTGAGGGGATGTTGGTGGAGGTAGAGGTGGAGATGGAGATGGATGTTGGTGGTTAGAGGGAATGGGGTTGATTGATGGGCATGAGAGGTGATGTGTTGGTTAGTGGCGGTAATGGTGGTGCGAATCTTCTCCTTGCTATTTGATAATTATGTGGTAGTAAAATATTCAAGTCTCAACTCTGAGAAGTAGCTCAATGATCAGACATTGGGTTTACTCCCTAATGGTCATCAATTCGAGTCTTTTCAGGGCCACTGAAGTGAGTACACCGCTGTAAACTTTAGGGTTCGGAGGGATTAGTCGAGGTGCACGTAAGCTGGTCCGGACACCCATGGTTATAAAAAAAAAAAAGGAAAAAAGAAAAAAAGGGTATACGAGTCTTGTTCACCAGTTTCCTGGTCCGGTCGAGGTTTCTTAACTGTGGTACTCATTTGTTTGTATCGTTGGTAGGCATTTTTAGCTAGATTCATTATTCTTCTTTGCGTTCTAAAACATGGGATAAATCTTAGCTTATTTGGTAGTACTAGTACAATGGACACAAACCGATTGCAGTTTCTGATTTCCATGAAAGGGAAGTCAGATTTTGAAGAATTAATTGCTCGATTCTTGATTTGGAGCACGTTTTTTCTATGTTTGAATGGACACTGTGATGCACTTTGTTGCTCAAATGTATTTTTTCGTGATTGTAACGTGAGCATGACTTCAAACATTTTAGATCGAATATGTCGCCATTTGTCTTGTTTTTGTCAAATATAACATGTTCTCATAGATGATTTGTCTATCTGTGGCTTGTTAGTGAACTGGTGTTATTGGAAAAGTTAAAAAAATTAAGGTTAAAATCGATAATTAATTTTTGTTATATATTTAATGAGATTTATAATTTTTATCAACCTTTCAGTTATGCATTTCATCAACTTTCATGAAAAACTATTAAAACATTTATCAAAAAAGTAATTACTTTTAAAGGGTATTACTGCATTGTTCTTTTAAATTGAGGGGAGAGTAAATGAATCCTAATTTTTATGTTTTGATAAGTAGAAGGAAGGGAAAGGAAAGGAAAGATAAGGTAAGGAAAAGAGGGACGTAACAAAAATAGCTCTAAACTTCGTTAATGAGTATATTTAATTTCTATTTGGTTTAGTTAAAAATTAAAATTTTAATAGATTTTGAAAAAAAAAAAGAAGATGAAATGTGCAATTGAAAAGTTATAAAACTTGAGAATTTTAAGAACTGCGTGATTAAATTAATTGTTAATTTTGACTTAAATTTTTATCAATTTCTTTGATTAAACCAAATAAGGACTAAACTTAGAGAATGACTTTAGTCGTTTTACATTATCAACAGTAGAATGTTATTTCATCTTGTATGTTGAAGTCAAAATTCTTCATTCTAAATTTTGACTTAATTAATTCTTTAAAATACGACTGCGATTCACGAGTTATCATGGACATCTATTATATTTATGAAAATGACATCCTTCTCCAATAATCTTCATAAATTAATCAATTTCTACGACTATTCTCATCATGCACACTTTTTCTATCAACTTGACCACAAGAAAACCATAGCAAATTAGTAATCATTTCTAAAGAAAAGCAAATCTCATTAAGAATATCTTCCCCAAGAGCATCATGTAAAGTCGAATGATTTTAAAATCTTTTGTTAAGAGTGTCCATTCACTTAACTATGCAAATTTGTTCTCAGGGAGATTCAAGTATTGATTCTTATGACCTTTTTTTTTTTTTCCTTCCCAACTTATCATTGACACTCAATGCAAGAAAAATAAATAAATAGATTGAGATGGATGCACTACGTAACGATGGACTTACATAACTAACTACAAATAATGAAGAAATGTAACTCAAAAAAATTCATACAATATATTGAAAACTCAATGTTGTTCTATCCTCCACAAGCAAGAAACCGTTCAAGCTCATGGAGGTATCACGACTCACCCTCTTTTTTGTCTTTCAATAGAACAATTTTCATCTCATTCTCTTCGGTTTTTAGGGAGGTTTTCAAAATTAATATTCATCAAGTCAAATATGGCACTGCTGATTCGAGATGAATGGAATGGAGGTAACCAATTGATGTAAAATATGGAACTTGTCTCCTCCAATATCTAATGTTGTTTATGGTTCCTAAATTGCTTAGATGAAACTTTAGCTATATGTTTGGCACATACAGGTCGAACGTGTCTTGTTTGTTTACAATTCTTAACGATTCTTCTAGAATTCAAGAATGCTCAACGATACATGTCCACTCTAAAACATCGAACACATCATAATCAACAAAAATTGACGACTTACCCCTCTCCCTCCTTGTCTCCCCCACTCATGATAGATGCTTTCATATATAGTGGCTAAAGGCCACACAAACATAGCATATGAACTGTTCCCTTTGCCTAATAATTGAAACAAAAAAGCATAATGGAAAACTTGTAGCTAATTTTCATGCGTTGTCTATAAATGAATTTAAATCAACTTTATTTTTTGTAAACCTAATCATATTGTTGGCAACAAAATTATTAGGCCAATAATACTTGTTGATAGCAGTCGATAGTTGTCACCCCTAGAACCCAAAAAAATTGTACAATATTCCTTTTCTTGTGGGCACTAATGAATGGAAATTAGGTCCACTCACCATGTGCATGGCATCGCATATTGGCCTATGCTATATCATATCTTTGTCATTATCACCTTGTCATGTTTGTACAACTTTTTATCGTATGTTATTAAGTCACTCTTTGATTTAAATAAAAATTTCTTGAAAGTTGATGGAATATATAATTTAAAAGTTGTGAATTCAATAAAATATATTTTTAAAATTAATGATTGACTTTAATTTATATTTTAATTCAATTTTTCTAGCTAAACCATACATGGACTAAGATTGTTTTTTCCGTAAATGAAATAAATCCCCCTAGGACGATTAATATCATCTAATTACTAGCTTGTTCTTTCAATAAAAATAAGTTTTGAATATGTAGATACAACCTTTCTTTGTAATATCATTGGCTACTCTCAAGAGTAATCGATTTAATAGATGCATTATATCATACTACTATCTTCATATTACTTGAAATTAAGGCGGCCTTTCGTTCGTGAGAATAAAATTTTTTCTGCTCAAATCAAATTATTTCGCTTCTCAATACATTTCAACGTCATATAACTTTGTTAAGTAATCAAATTTATGTCTTATTTTACTTATAGTTAAAAAAAGCTCTTTTATTAGACTTTACCGAGACATTTAAAATTCGTACAACATAAAAAACAAAAGCATAAACTAGATAGAAACACAATATATTTTTAAAAAATTAAAAATGTGTTTTTCGAAAAAATCAACTTGCGAGTAAGTGAAATAGATTTATCCTAAAATAGATTTTATTCTTAAACATATGTGAAGAAGAATATTATTAAGTAAAAAAGATAAAAGGTGCATTGCTATGATATTCAAATTAATTAATAAAGCCTCGTGACTCGCGAGAGGACAAAAGACATTCGAAGTAGTGGGTTGATGGATTTGTTGGGAAAATTTTTAATTTGTCATGTGACCTACGTATATAATTAATTGTGTATAATTTAAATTAAACTCAAAATTAGAATGATTTAATAAAGAATTAAGGGAAAAATTCATATCTCTAGTGTAAAATATTGGCAAATTCAAAATTCAAACAATAAGTTAAAATTTTTAAATCTCAGATGATAACTAAATAATAAAATATATTTTATTAATTAAATTATTAATGTCACAGTTATACAATTAATGGTCACAGTTACATACTTATGGATCACAACTTATTTATTGATCATATATTATCAAATTAATTGATCACAATTATTTTTCTATCACAAATTAAAAATATTAAGGTCACAATTTATTTATTGATGACAAATAATAATTTTTAAAGGTCATAACTCATTTAAGGATCACAAATTTTCAAAATAGTTGGTTACAAATTATTTTTCAGTCACGAATTATTGAAATTTTATGTCACAGTTAAAAAATTGGTCACAAATAATCAAATAGTTAGTCACATACATCAAATATTTTACTTCACCCTCAATCCCAATCCACTATCAATACTTGGTCACAAATCAACTATGTAGTTGGTTACAAACACCCAGATAGTAGGTTACAAATAATCTTCATCCCCATCCGACCATCGCCCCTGCCACCACTATAACTACCAACAAGATCATCAACACAACACCATCACCATTGTCGTCAACCACCAACACTAGCATTGTCGCTGTTAAACACCACGCCCAAGCACCGCTAACATCACCCCTGCCTTGCCATCGACCACCGCCCAACTACAAACACCACCACAATTTGCAAACCACTTGCACAACCACCGTCACTTGCACAATCACTATCATCACCGTCGACCAACAACCACCCACGGATCAAAAAAAACCACCAATAGAAAAAGAAAACAACCAACAACCTACACACCACCACAATTTGCAAACCACTTGCACAATCGCCGTTGCTTTGCTGATCAACTGGAGGAATTTCTCGTCGCTGTTTCACCGATCAAGTGGAGGAATTGCTGCACAGCGGTAAAACCTGGTGGAATATAGTGGTGTTAATGAAACCGGATTATCGCATACCGTATATGTAGTTTATATATTGATTTTAAGCATACCGTATATGCAATATACCGTATTTATAGACAGCTTACCGTATTTGCAACTTAACGTATATGCTACCTACCGTATTTACTTCCTACCATATATGCTGCATACCGTATATGCTTTTAACCATATTTGCACATATTTTTTTTACCCTTTTCATATATACCGTATTTTCATTTACACATAAAAATACCAAAATTATGGAATATAATCTTTTCTCAAATTTTTATTTTTAACATAAATAGAAATTAACGCAGATTAATTTTGATAAACATAAATAGAGCGATAACATAATAAAATGACAAATTAAGCTAACTAATTAAATCTACAAGAATAAATTGCAAAGGTATAATCGCAAAATAAATAAATGGTGGATTAATTTTCATCCCGAGGCCTGTGCGAACATAATTTCCTTAAAATAGATTCGCCCTCTCACCATAAGTGCATGAGGTTTAATCCGAGCGTCTGTTTTTCAGGATACAACGATAAAACCCGTAGAATTTGAGTACCACAGATACTACTCCAGCGAACTGACTAGTATCTGAACAAAATCACCACAGTGACGACGTTGAACATAAATCGAGATGCAGACAGAAAAAAATTGCAGAATGTTTTTCTCCTCCTTTAGTGTGTGTTTTCGTATGTGTTAGAACTGCTGGAAAAATGACCTTTTATGTGAGTTTAAATTTGCCTATTAACTTCATAGCAATAAACACTAGAGTTGCTTTAATTTTTTGGAGTTTTGGCAATTTTCGAAAACTCAAAGGTCAGTTAAAGAAAACAAAAAATTGCATAACATGGACACTCTAAAAGGGCTAATTTTTTGCTCTGTTCGGTCTAACATACGTGTACGCAGGTCACGCCCGCACAAAGTTTAAGGTCCAAAGGCAATTTCAATCCGTTATTTGCACCCCCTACGCGCGCACGTGGAGAGAGCATTTATGCTACACGTAATTACACCATTCCAATGTGCAATCCTATATAAAGTGGTTAATACTTTCTTCATTTTCCTACGTGGGACTAGTTTTATTTTCCCACATAAACTATCTTCTAATGGTCATCTTTGAGCTCCAATTTCTCATTCATCAATTCATTAATTTTGACAAATAAATATATGGTTTCGATACTCTCACGGAAGAGAACAATGATCAACTTTTATCTTTCAAATTGGACCAATGGGTCCCACCGAAAATTTTGCCAAAATTAAGTCATTTACTTATTTTTTCCAACAATACCATCACCGCTACGCGTGGCAGTCGACCCATCGACTCCGCCTTTGTATTGTGCGCAACAACACTTGGAGAAGTCAATTGTCACTTTTAGGAAAGATGAGAGTTGCAGTGACACCATCATCGTTGCTCTGTTGGATCGGCCCATAGACCCCGTCAAATTGTTCGGTTGTGGGTTGTGCGTATGAGAGTGAGTGAGAAGGAATGGTGGGTTGTACGTGTGAAAGTGAGGAAGACGGTGGTGGTGGTTGAGGGGTATGTTGAATTAGGTAAGATTTTTAGGGTTTGGGTGGGTGTAATTAGTAGATCAATATCTTAATTTTGCATATACAAACTTTGGACTGTGAATTGTATTAGTTGGAACTATGTATTTTCCTCAAGAATTAAATTGTTGAGTTTAGGGCATTTAAATAAATTGTGAGTCGGATTATATGTGAAGAGATCAAATTCCTTTAGAATTGTATTTCATGATAAGTAAAATACATATAAAAACTATATATAGGATTATAGACCTCAATTCATAAGCAACTTCTCATTCTTTTCGTCATTCTATCAACACAAGAATACAAGATAAAATACATTGAAGAGGAAGATTCAATAGCCACAATAAAAAAAATCAAGAAGGAATTCAAGAATCAAGATTGTGGATCAAAAGGAAAAATCAAGAATAAAAATAAAATCATCAAAGGAGGCAAAATTCAAGATTAGCCAAAGATGAAGAGATTGCAATTCAAGTTTCAAGATTCGAGATTCGAATTCAAGATCCAGTAATAGAGAAATATTCCCAAAGGATTAAGGTATGTTCCGCATTATTAATTTTTCTTGATGATTTGACATGAAAAATCTTGACAATAAAGAAATTTAGGTTTTCAAATTTTAAAGTTTCTAATATTAGAAAGTCTAAAGTTTCATAAAATTACAACATGATTTATTTAGAAAAAGCTAGAAGTTACTTATTTTTGAATTGAAAAAACATCCTACCTATGTAAAAACTAAAATAACACTCGTAGTCTCAATAAATGGTTTAGTTTTCATAAAAAAGGCTCTTTCTAACTCAGTCACGATAGTCTATTAGTTTCTAACTATTATGTAACCACTACGTCATAACTCAATTTGTTAGTGGCCGTTCAAAATTGATTGCCGAACTATAATAATAAAAGTTGAAAACCAACTTGCTGGTCAAATAATTGAATTGGATTAGTGCTGTAATGATTTTATTTTATTCTTTTTGCGCTAACGATAACATTCATGCATCTCTTACAAACTTCTTCGACAAACTAATGTTGTCATTGAAGAGTTCGAAAATTATCGATTTTTCAACCAACAATTTTTTGACACATCAACATAGTCAGTCAATATTGCCATCTACCAATAGCATAATTGTTTGCCAATTGCCATGACGATTTTCAAAGTGTTGCACCGGACTCATTTTTATTGGATCTTTACCTGTCGCCTCCATCTATATAAACCTTTCCTCTCCTCTCTCACACTCACACTCACACTCACACTCACACTCTTACTCTCTATTTCTGTTTAGTTTCTTCTTTAATGGCCGAAACACAACTTAAGCGCCAGAGAGAAAAATCCAATGAACATGAAGCAGCAACCTCTGCCTTTGATGACACAAACTCAAAGCACCACAAATCATACAACTGTATACTCTCAATTCTTGATGATGAAGAAGAACAAGAGCCAAACCAAGACTTTTCAGCAATTTTTACAACCCTACAGCAAGAGCTCTCTTCTTCATTTGCCTCTCCTTCGTGCACGGTGGAGGAAGCTGGGCGGGACCATAACCAAACCACCAACACCTCCGCGTGCTCTGTTGTAATTGGTGCTAAAGAACATGAAGAGGAAGGTGGGGATGATAGAGTCATGATCAGACGTCTTCTCGAAGCCTCTGATGATGAGCTTGGAATTCCCAAAAGAGTCGACAAAGAAACCAAATCAGAAGAAAATCGACCCTTCTGTGATGGGCTGTGGGAATTTGAAGATGAAGCTGCCAACTACTACACTATGTTGCACTTGGACCTTTTCATGTAGTTTTTGGGGGGTAGAATTGACAGATAGAAAAGTTAAGGGGCTGTGAAGGAGAAATGTTGAAAAAATTGAGAGGGGAAGGAAGAAATTGGAAGCTTTTTAGGTTTTCATTTTAGTCCTCTCATTTTTTTAATAACATGTCGTATGATCCCTCTTTTCCAGCCTAAAACATTTGGGTGTCATGTTCAATTTCATATGCACACAAAGGAAAAACTTAATTGACTTTTTATCGTTCCAAGACCCATTTGCATGTATTAACGAAAAAAATGAAAAATAAAAAAAATAGATGACATATTTGAACTGAGTAAACTTTTTCTACATTGACTATTGAGTCAGATTAAGCTCCACGCTCCACTCTCGGTGCCCTTTTTCAATCAATTTTTAAAAATTTGGCCTTGCGATCATATTTACCTTGGAATAAAAAGGCTTTTCAATTTCTTATAAAGTGCCAGCGAAGTCATATAAGCAACATTCGTCGATCGCTAATCGACATCATTTATGAATGAGATTAGATGGTATTTGATCCTCTTCTATTTTTTACTCTTTTTGCCGGCACTTCTAGATGATGTCAAACATGTTTTCATAAAGAGAGAATCAAAGGGACTTTTGTAGAGGCTACGGACAACTCATGGCCGCAAATGAAATTGCACGAGACCACTTTGATTATGAGTTCGGGGATGCGAACATGGTGGCCCCAAAATACCTTCCGTGCCATCTTAAAAGCGAAAAACTTCCATGACATTTTTTATAAATTTCTCATAGTTCTAGCCTCAGATATCTTTTAGGGTAATAATATGTGTTAGCTCCCCTACTTGTTTTACTTAAAACTTTCTTTTGGTTAGTATACGTGTGTTAATGAAATAGAATATTGGAATTGGACAAAAGTATGATTTTGATCGTCTACGAAACTTTCACAACTAGATCTACGTAGTGAAGTGGTTGAGTAATTCAAGGGATAATGTTGAAATTGCAAGGCAAACCTCTATTAAGATAATAGGGGTAAATTTGCTGCTCAATTGATTGGTCGGTGCTCAAAATGTGATCGAAGGTCTGTGTCATATGAAGGGGACATGTACCAATTTTATACAACTTTTTGGTGCTTTGTTAGTTGAAATTTGTCGTCCAACTACACTTATGCTCTGTTTGGCGTGGATTAAAATTTAAGTCAAAGTCATAATTTTGTGTGGATTCATACATTTTCAATCACATATTTCATCAATTTGATTAAACTATAATTTTTAGCAACAACAAACAGGTGCTTAAGTACCAAGATCAAATTTCTTTGTTAAATGAAAAATCAAAATATTGCATTTAATACGTTACATATATTTTCAAATTATTCAAAGTAAGTCCTTAATTGTTTGGTCCCCCGTCCCCATTATATTGAGAATTTGAAAAAAAAATATTTTCAAATAGTATTATTAAATATTTTTAAGAATATGTGATTAAAAAAAAGATTTTTTTTAATTTACGTGTAAATATTATTTATTGAACAATGTGTGGTTAATAAGAAGCAAGAGAAAAATGAATTGTAATTTTAACGAGGACCAAACATGGGCTTATAAAAGATGAGAAATCAATAAGTCCTTTTTTTTATTATTATTATTTAAGAATAACTTTTTATCCACACTCATTTCAACTACATATTCTCTCTCTAAAAAAAAATTATTTTTAATATTTTTTCTACTTTTTTTTTTTTTACCACATTTGCAAACTAAAAAAATAAAAAATCTTTATCTAAGAAACACTAATTGTTTATTGAATAAAGCAAAAGAATAATGATATTCATAGTGAAGATTACAGGTAGTCGCCCTATGTAATATACATACAGTAGTTTGTTATTTAATGCATTAATGTATGTCACCTAGGTAATTACCATAAATAACATGCAAAATAAATGCCCAAAATAATGAGTATTATGGGAGTATTAAATTATTTCACTCTTTAAATTTAATAATATTCTCTATTGTACATAAAATGATCTTTATAAATATAGAATCTCGTGAAGTTGCGTCCTTACGCAAAGATAATAAGCAGACATCTATAAGATTGAATGTTATCATCCCAATGTAATTTAAAAATTGTCATTTTGTTAGTTAAAATGATTTTTACTTAATCTGTCTAAAACATTTGTTGCTTATAAAATTGGTTTTTGCACTCGACCAAATAATGTCTTTATTGTATTGAATTCTTATAAATAAATATTAAAAAAAAAACGATAAATAAAAAACTAAAGAAACAAAGAAAGAAAAAGGTAAAAGAAGGAAATATGCATAATGTATGAAAGGGAAGGCTATAGAATCTTGCTCAAAGTTTCAACATTTCATTGTAGAGAACATAAATTTATTGGACTGCAAACTTTTCCATAATATTCAAATGTGTGACTGCCATATGTCAAATTTTATCATGGTAAGGAACATAAAAAAATATTCATCATTTAAAGATATACTCAAAATACTAGTCATGAGTGAAAGACAACACATGGAACATGCCAAAATTTCATGATTCTCATGCATTTTTGACTAATTAGTTTAGTATACAGTAAATTAAGATCTACAGAATAAATTATTAAGATCTCAAAATTATTGATAAAAATTCTTATGTCGAAAGAACAAGTTCTTTCTTTGACATTTCCAAAAGCTTCCTCCACTTTGTGAGGAGTATATAGAAGTCGAATTTTATATTTAGGTATTATATGTTTTATGTTATATTTCATTTGAACAAGTTGATCTTAGCAATAGATTAGTTGGACATAATTTTCACTAAAGCATGAAAATACCATCGTTTCAAAAGACAATCTTCTTTGCAAGAAACTCGTAGCATCAGCTAAAAAGTCCAATTGGCGCATTTGTACCAAGTTGATAATACGATCCAATTTGACACACCTTATCGAAGTGCATCATATAGACCTATACCTATGATTCTATATATGTAAATAAATTTTATTTTCAATATACATCTAGAAAGTTTCATATGCATAGTTAATAAAAGACTATGCTTGAATGACATAACAAAGAAAAGGAAAACCTTTATTGACAAAAAATAACAAAGATACGATGTGACATCTGAAGGACCCTTGCCGTCTCTGCTACGTGCATTGTTGAAAATGTGTACCAAATATTAGAGTCCGTTTGTAAATGATTTTGAGAATTGATTTTTTGACCGTTAGGAGAAAAGTGAGGTCCATCTGTGAGAGAAGAAGTCAAATAT